ATACATATATATATATATATATATTAAATTGAAGCGGGCGGCGGGATTCCTATTCCAACGACCAATAATTTCCATTTTGGTGATCGACAACCATTGAAGCAAAGCTCTTTGTCAACCCTAAATAAGGCCTCACCTCTTGGGCAATGGTAATGGCTAAAACTTCATATTTTCTCTTGGTTCGTACTTTTATGAAAGTAAGTATTAATTTAGTGAGGATTAGCCATAAAGATTTCTTTAGTAAGATAAAATAAACATTACGATCAATTGGAGTAAAGTTTGATCATTTATATTGAGAGATCTTAAGGTTTGAATATGGAAGGTTCTTTGTTTCTGTTCCATGAAGAGGATGAACCGACGTCATCAGTTTCCGTGTGTTAGAAATAAATGACAGATAATTAAGACGCATGGGACCGTGGGAGCTTCTCAAAGTAGCATATCAACACCAACTTAGCAATTTGAATGGATAACAAAGAAATGGCATAACATTGTGTGGACTTTCGATGACACTGAGGATTTAGTAAGAGCCGCATGGTTAAGTAGAGAATTTGGGATTTTTTGAATTAATTAAATATATGTCGTAAACTTTAAAAAATTATAACTTAATAAATAAAAATAAAAAAAATAAAATAAAATAACCTTTGAACTTAGTACACATATAAGAATTTAATAAAAACAAAATTCATATTAATTAGCTAAGAGTTAATTTTAAAATTAACTAAAACCATTAATTAGTGTTTAAACCATAAAAAAATATATATATAAGCAAAGTTAATGAAAATTGGAGTGATGATTCTTTCTATCTATGGGGATATGCCTTGATTTTTCCAAGAACTGAGACCACCATTAAGAATTAAAATTATAACTTTAAATAGAAAAAATAAATTAACTCAAAAAATAAATACAAAAATAAAAGAAAAATCAGGAAAATACAAACTTATTCGAAAATTATAAAGAAAGTTAAACTAAGTAAAATAGTCAACTCAAAGGTAAATTCTAATTACTTGAAATTAAAGTTTACATTTAAACCCGGGGAGGGTAATTTTGTAATTTATGATTCTTTGCACCTTGAACCCTACTATCTCCAAACTTAATCAAAATAGATAAAAGAGAGTTGAAAACCCTATTATTGGGACTTAATGAACCTACAAATAAAAAAAAAATTAAAAAAATTGAGTAATGAAAATTAATGAAATCAATAATAAGATAAATAACACTTTTAAAGTCATGAAGCTATACTTAAATAAGATTTAATTAAGTTAAAAAATAAAAAAAATGAAACCACAAATTTCTTTTTAAGGATAATTAACTCATTAATCTGAAGGCTAAATCGAAGGCATGTAAAAATTAAAAATATTCCCTTAATAACACTTAGTTTAAATCATAATAAAATAACACAAGTGAATTGTTAATGACCCAACGAATAGTTAATACTATGCTTGATCTAAAAAGTGTCTTTGAAATAAACCATGAATAAAATACGAATAAGAGTTAAATAGGTGACCATTAGAGTTAAAATTTCTTAAAGCCTCTAATGATTGTGTAAAGGAACGAAACAATTGAAGATTAAAATTGAGAGATCTTGAATTTGTAGAAATGAGACCTAAATAAGAGTTTAAACAAGTATAAGGATATGATCAATAACTAACTAAGGAACAACTAGTAATTCCCCTCTTAATGATCCAAATAAGTACAAACTTAAAGCTAAGTGATTAAACACTAAGTCCAACGCATGAGATAAGGAATGTTTATGAGTCCTTTCAAGATATCATAAACACACTTTTCTCTATAGTGAGAGTTTAAGCATAAACAATCATAAAAGAAACACCAATGATTGAGTAAATCTCAAACCTCGAGATAATGCGGGTCAAGAAAAAAGTAATTAATTTATAAAATACCCTCCTTCAAACAATATGTTCATTAAATATTAAAAGAACCAAAATGATAAGGTATAAAATGGAAACCTAACTAAGGGACAAAGAGAATTAAAGTATGAAAGTCACTAAAACCTAAAGTGAACCCTGAAATTCACTATTACTTAGGCTTAAACAAAACTAAAGGTACGCGGGAAAAACTTGGATGAAGTAACCCATGGTTGCTAACAAAGATTCTGGCGTTCAATTGTTACTAAGAAGACCAAAAACTCTAACGACCTTAGAATGATGGAACCATCGGATTTTGATCGGGTCATCATAAAAGAAAAGCCAAATTAATTCAATAATTTTTTATTAAAAATGAAACTGATTAAAAGTCAAACAATATAAAACTCATAAACTGAATGAAATCCAAAAGACACTAAACATAAAGTGAAACTCTAATAAACAAATAGAACCACACTTAACTTAAAAATAATAGTAATAACCAACCTCTAGGGCTACAAAGATCTCTTACACGATATAACCCATGATTGCTGACAAGAATATTATATTTGAGATAAGCTAACCACCTTTCTTGACTAAGTAAATCCAAAGCCAACCCTTGAGACGATAAAATGCCATGAGAAACTTGACCAGGTCTTTTTAAATAAATAAATAAATAACTATTTTCACTTCACAAAGCACCCACTTTTAGATGTCATAGTTTTCTAACCCCATAAACGTCATATGAGTAAATATTCTTTTATGTTGTGATTGCTATGTTTGCTTGTTAGATGCATGTTAGAATGAGTACATGACCTTCGGTTGCACTAAGTTGACATTAATTCTCTTTATATAATCCCAGGTTGTTATAGTAAGCTCAAGATGTGCTAAATCAAATTTTTAGGGCAAATGTAATTAAGCAAGCTACTGTAGTAACCTAGTGTTAACTTCTCAAGTCATTGCTTTTCTTTATAGAGTTATGAGGTGTTTTATTCAATTGGATATATAAGACTGAACTATATAAAAAATTTGAAACATAAAATGATGGATGGACCTCAATTAAACCAGTAATGGTGGTTCGAATGATTTCAACTATCTGGTCTAACATTGGTCTAGGACTGACACCCCTTGGTTGCTCTTATTCCTTGTGCTTGTTCAATAGGTCTGCCCACATTTTAGACTGGTGCTTTTCTTGTGTCATTTTCCAAGATTATCAGAATGCTCATTTCAGGACTAAATCTTCTATTCATGCTAAATAAAAAATTTAGACATATTTTTTTAAAATCAAATCTTAAAAGTGTTTTATTCAATTAGATATACAAGACTGAACTATATAAAAAATTTGAAACATAAAATGATGGATGAACCTCAATTAAACCAGTAATGGTGGTTCGAATGGTTTCAACTACCACATAATAACCCACGAACAATGATAAAATAAATTTAGCTTGCAATTCGATTTATTAAATCTAAATTTATATTATAAAAATGATAGAATGAGAGAAGAAAAATAGGAATGCGAGAAAACGAAATTTAATGGAATGTTGGAATTTACTTATTTATTTTGATGTTTGACTTAATTTAGTTAGGTTAAATTCATGATTAAGGGTCCGTTTGGGGCAAGTTATTTGATGCAGTTATATTTTGAAAACACACTTGTCCTGTTTGGGTAAACTGCATTTTGACAGCTTATGTTTTTTCAAAATATTAAAAATAATATTTTTTATGGCAACTTTTTGAGTGCGGTGTGACTTTTTTAAAAAAATAAAAATTTGTATAACATATTATTATTTTTAATGAACTTATGATTCAATAAGCGGACCCTTGTGATGCAACCAAACACCGCTCGGGGTTTTTAGGGAAGAGTGCTTTTTGGATTGCTCGGGTGAAATTGGAGCTGCGAAAGGGAAAAATGGCTTCCGCGCCCAAAAAGAGGAAGATCGACAGGTTTTCATTAATTTAAATACCTTGTACAGTTTAATATCCCCTCATTATCGATAATGTTGTTGATTCAGCAACAAGTTCGCCATTTGTTTTTTAGTCAGAGTATTAGCTTTCTCTCCGGCATCCCTTAATCATGTTCTCCCACATGCAGCTTCTTGCCCCTCAGTAACATGTTCGCAATTGTACTTCAGTCAGCTTTTTTGCTTCTCTCCGGCATCTCATAGTCCCCCTTTTCGCGTTATTTTCACATGAAACGTCTTGGTTCTATCTTTTTTGTTTTAGCCAGAAACTGAAATTCTTATCCATTGTTAGGGTTGACAAACAAAGTACTGAATTGACAGTTTTCAGCTGAAACAAAGGTTTTATTTCAATCTCATTGAGTTGGCTACTGGTTGTACCTGATCTTGTTTATTTCCCTATCAAATTCTAAGATATAGTTAGGGGTGGGGTTACTGCTCGGAGTTTGTCTACATGTGTTTTCTTTTTTTGTGTTTTTATTCCTAAATCATTTTTCACTTGTGCATTGCAGGCAGAAAGTATTTACTTATGGAAGTGTGATACTATAGCCTGCTTTCTTCTCACAAGCATATAAAATCTTTAGGATTCACAATAAAAATTAAATATTAAAGCTAAACTTTCTGTGCATGGCTTTGGTTGTTTGTTCCAACATGAAGATTTCACACATTCTAAAGTTGATTTGCATTATGAAGGCTGTGGTAAAGTGCTTTCATTGTCAGAAAAGGTGTAGTGGTGTTATTTGATTATAATAAGGTAAGAAGGCACATATTGGTGAAAATTTTGCATTTGAGGGGCAATAAATAGGAATTCATGAGAAGAGCCTTATGATCTTGTGTGAAAGGCTTTTAAAATAAAATCAAAACATCTAAAGATTTAGATTTTGTTTAGTAATTCTGTGTTATATTGTGCTATACAAAATAAAGTCATTGCTATACTTGTGAATATGAATGAACTGCTTTGCATGTTTATTGAAGGAATATATTAGAGGAGGGGATGCAAACCCAATCAAACTATCTCATCATAATTGCTTATTAAAGGAAAATGTTTAAGCAATACATTATTGAATGATGCCTTAGTGTAACTTCTACTACGACAAATTTAGTTGCTAACCCTTGTATAGAATGATAAAAATTTTTTTTTGAACCCAACGTACAAAGATGAAGTTGCTTATTTTATGAAGTGAGTGAATTGTGCATTAAAAATTAATGCAATACATGTAAAGTTCACTTCTCTATTTTTTGTGGTTTGACCCTCTTGTCGCCTAGATTCGTGCCCAGCCAAAAACTTTTTCTAGGACTCTTCCTATCTCTAAACTTATCACGGTTCCCAAAAGATTGTCCACTCCTAGTGTAGGTGGAGAAACACATAAGACAAAAAACTACATTAGAAGAAACTTAAGATATTCTCTCAAATTCTTCCAAAACTTTGAAAGCAAAATGAAATACAACATTACAAGTATTTCAATTGAATTATCTTATAAAATCATCTTACAAAATATTAATTGTATATGCTTTAATTAAATCCTCAAAATGATCATACAAAAACTTGTGAGGATTAACTCCTTTTTCACCTTTGCTTGCATTTATCTAGCTTAAGAAGATCTCACTACATGAAAAAGAAAAACAATTTCAAATTTTTGTATTTATGTGAAATGTTGTTTGCAAAAAATGTTTTAGAAGAAAGAATTTTTATTAGGAAATGTTTTAGAAATTTCTATGAGCGGTTGTAAAACCCATCTTCGGGTCAACTGCCACCTTATTAGATAAGTAAGTGGCTTCTGGGTTTTGTTGAAGATAAATGTATTCATGCAAAAATTCTTAAGGTTGGGGCCTGGCTTGCCAAATCTAGCACTGCCAATGTTTTAAAAATATACCCATTGAAGACATCTTAATGTAGGAATTATGGAATCTTGTTTTTTCTTTCATAACTTAATATAGAAAAATCACAAATGTATGAAGTAATATTTCAAATCAATTTAAACTTTTTTTTTTGGATCAATAATAAAATTAGGTGCTTATTTTGATTATATGAAGTAATTATCATTTAAATTGTTATTTTAATCATAAAATCTCATGTTTATCCATAAATTCAAACAGTTTTCAAATTCACTTAAGTTTTTGCAAGCATTGATTGAGAAAAATTCAAGTATGATTTTAATTTAAAATATATTTTTTGGAGAATTAAATTGATTTTTAGGCGGTGTGAGCCAAATGATCTAAATCATAAGTTTTAGCATCTAAGTAATCTATTTACTCACACATATATCTAAGATATAAATAGCCTTGAATTGACCAACTATAAGTTTTTGGAGTCATCCATGAGCATGTAGAAGCATTCAAAAAATTTATAATTTTTTTTCTCCATTAAGTTTACTTATGTGAGTCACACCCTGATTGACTCTCACCTTTAGGGTCAATCATGGTGCAACAGAGGTATACGATTTGATCAGACTAAATTCTCGCCAGTACTCATCATGAAATACATAATCAAGGCCCAGTGTGTGACGAATTGGTTTAACAAAATCACTTCTAACATTCGTAATATATATTATTTCATATTCATATACTTAGAAACGGGGAAAACATTATCACAAAAACAGACACACACATATACACACACAGAGCTGTTAAATCTAACATAATAGAAGCATATACCCAATCAAATTCTCAAAACTGTGTAATGCACAAGTTGTACACATTACATATAACTATTCATCCTAGTGCTCCTTATCTCTTCCTGAAAGTTAACAATAAACTCAACAAAATAATCAAGATTGAAATATGATTTAATAGAAAAAAAGGAAACAACATGCATGCTCATTTGTAGCTCATGTATATGTCAACAACACAGATCACAACATGCTATAATTGTATAAAATATATAAAAGAAAAGATATGCAATTCAAAAAATCAATGATAGTTATATAAAACATGTATTTCATTCATTCATTTGTAATTATAAGAATTTTATAATCATCAATCATAATCATAGGAATTTCACTTGTAATTTTATAGACCTCAACTATTTTCATATCATTTCATATTATTTGGGTCGTCATCCAACCCAAAGACTAATTTAACTATTTATAAAGGTTGGTTTCCTCTCAATATAATAGTTAGAGTTGTTGATGTTTGTAGGAAAAGATTTTTTGTTTAGGAGAATAATTTTGATGATATGTGTTATGGGCAAGTGAGAGCGGTGTGAATGCTTGTTGAGGGATTGGTCATTATTACCTGTTGATGGTTTTGGATCATGAGCTTGCTGTAAATTTTGATTGGGTGTATTCCCCCTTTTATAGCCCTAAATGATATAGTGATTGGTGTTTTTGTGGTTAGGATATCAACATCTTTCATAAACTTATCTTCTAGTTTTTCTTATCCCAAGGTTGAATGACTGAAAGCATTGCTTTTAATCATGTGTGATTTTTTGAAGTGATGAATCTTATGTTAATGGGATGATAACACTTGTACCTTTTTTGAATTGAGGAATATACTATAAAAATACATTTGAGTGCTCTTGTATCAACCTTATCCCAATGTTGTTTATTGATGTGAATAAAAGCAATCCATCTACATATTTTTGTTGAGAATTTTGAGAAGTTTCTTCTAAAAAACCAATTATTTTGTAGGATATTCTATTGATTCACTATGTGACAATTAGAGTTGTGTTTCTGATTTTGGAAAAAAGGAGTTTTAGTGACTTTAAATAATTGTCAATTTTTTCTTTATGTGTCAGGATAAATAGATTAATGTATGATATCTTTCTTTATTGAAAACTGAGGTAAATGTCTGGTTAAAATAATTATAAGCATTATTTGTGCAATGCAACTTAATGTTTACAATAAATTTTTTTTTTCATCATAGTAATAAAAATAGAGAAAACAAGACTGACATTGCATATTTGTCTGATATTTAGCAACTATTTTATTCGAGTGAATTATCAAAAATGGTAATAATATTCATAGATCCAATAATATTAGAAATTTATGAAATATTGAAGTGAATATAAAACAAAGGATTTTGAATCACTTTTAGGAAAATAAACACAATGTTTTCTAATTTCATAAGTTTCAATGTTAACATTTATAAAAAGAGAAGGCAACATATATCATATGATTTTGAAAGAGAGATGCATTATTCTATAATGGTGTTCCCAAATATGTTTGTGTTAAGAGTGGAGATAGAAAACTGCAAGTGGTTTTTGTCATAAAAAAGGTATAGCTCATTTTTTTATCTAGCTAGCTCAATTGTCTTTCTCATATCTGGGTCTTGAAATACACAATTTCTTAGTAAAAATAGTTAGTTATTCTGAAGTTGCTATTAGTGGTTTTGTAGAGTGATAGAAGATTTACTACAAGATGAGGGACACGTAGAACATTATTGTAGTAATTGTGGAAGAAATGACTTGCATAATTTTTATGGACTCGATGACGATTTTAATTTTACTATTACATGGATAGGGTTTGTAGGTTTGAAAAGGTTTGCAAAATTTATTTTGTTGTCAGTGGTTCATTAATCTTGGATCCAGCTTTGAGGAGAATAATTTGAGGTACTAAAAATACGTGAGTTAGAATTTATATCATTTTTAGTAAGATTGCATGACTTGCAAAATTTTTAGGAAAATTGAGGAAGGTTTTGATTTCTCTGATTTCTTTTGAATTTAGGGCTCTACTGATTACACAAGACAACTTGTTCTTTTGAGTGTTTTTTTTTTCGCCATAGTTTTTTTGGGTCTTTTTTGGAGTTTTTAAAAATTCCTTTTAATTTATCATTCCTTCTTGCAATAATTGCACAAGAGATTGGTTTTGGCAGGAGGCTTCTATTATTTTTTGGGAGAGAAATTTGCGGCAATTAATTTCTTATCTTGTTATTCAGTAGCTACAATGAAAAATATTTTAAAGATCGGATTATTGAAAAATCACCTTCTTCTTTTATCAATTTATAGAATTGCATTTATAGAAAAGAGATTTTTTCTTCTTACAATTT